GCACAGACAACCCCGTGACAATGCGTTTTATAACGCTGTTACATAGCACAAAACGCATAATAAAAGTCAAAAATAAGCACAAAAGTAACTAGTGGATTTTGTGATGTCAGAAAGTCTATCATCGTTTCTTTAGCAGACGTTATTCCCACTATCGTTGTGACAATAAGAATTATTTGTAAATTTGATTTTCAGTGCGAAAAGTACCACACTGTAATGCACTTTAGATTGACACGGGCGCATTCGCGCATTTACGAGGCTATAAAATCGACCTAACAATACGCGATACGTCAATCGATGTGTTTCCCGCTGCTGTGTTCAATACATTAACCGCTGTTAGCTTTCTATCACTGTCACTGCACAACAATCGCCTACAAACGTTTGAACCATTCCCGCACACAAAACCACCGGTACTCAACCAGCACGGTACCATACTACACACTTTACACATAACGGTTAGTTTTTTATGATCCGTTTTCAAATTTCGCTTGCAGCAATGTTTCTTTTTATTTCATTAAGAATTTGCGGCATTTTTCATCTCACTGCTTGAGCATCTGACTCGCGAATACAGGCCTCACTACGATGCAGAGGTTAGAGAAAAGCAGGAAGAGCAGTTAAATTCGTTTGTTTGGCAATTCGAAAACGCATTCTGTGTAAAAAGCAATTGGCTATTTCTCTCAAAATTTAACTACTTGGATTTGCGAGACCAGAAATCTCGCTTCCCGTCAAATCAGTAGCAATGAAAGTCTGTTTCTTTAGGTTTGAGTCGTTAGAAAAGTGTGAATACAGATGCGATTAAAAAGTAACACACACCAGACTAGGCGGTGCGATCATGAGTTTTGTGCAATTCCGCCCACCGAACGATTGCCTATTAACGATTTTCACTGCTTTGTAATTTGAAAGCTTAAAGGGTGAATATTCTCTCGTGATTCCCGAAATAACAGTTTACTCGCAAACATTTTCACGAGGTCGTAAGTGACACCTAAAAGCGCGGGAACGCTGAATTTGAATTTGTAAGGTCGTACGTGGGGGGTCACAACCCTAAAATTTCAGCTTCCTAGGCTCCTTGGTTCCCAAGATAATAATCTACCCGCCAAAAATTTTCACGGGAGGGTACATATCACCCGCGGACAAGGGAAAGCTGAATTTAAATTTTCTAGGTAGCACATGAGCGGAGGGCATGTCCACAAAATTTCAGCCTTCTAGTTTCTGTGGTTCCCATGATAATAATTCTACTCACCCAAACTTTTACGGGGCCGTACGTGTTACCCGCGAGGGTACGGGAGGCTGAATTTAAATTTGCGGGGTCGCATGTGGGTGCGGAAAGTTCCCCCAAAATTTTCAGCTCTCTGGCTTCTGCGGTTCCCGAGTTGAAAGTTACGGACAAGTTACTGCGGACAGACACACACATACACAGACAACCCCGTGACAATACGTGTTTTGTACTGTTGTTACACAGCACAAAACACATAAAAATGAAGCGAAACAAGGATTCGACACCACCGAGTCAGACAGCTTTATTCACTGCAGGGTAATTCAATGATCTGTGACTGCCGGTTGAGCTGGATCACTGAATGGATCGAGTATTATAAGAGTGTAAACGCAGCAGCGCAGGAGCAGCCCCTCAACGAGTCATACTGTGCTGATCAAGCAGGTGGAGGCTCAACACTCAACCAAGCATACACGACAGCAAACCACATTCTGTGTAATAAAGATAGTGCTACTGCGAGTCATTCGTCGATTCGATTTTTTCCGAACCTTTTGTTATTTTTTTCTTCACTGGCCTCAAATTATATGTATCATCTTAGCTGTTTTTTGAAAATAAAATAACAGATAAAAAAATGAAGGAAATGAGAGCATTACTAAATAAACAGTGGCGCGCACCAGAGCAGCCGATGCGTTTTATGCAACTCCGTCCAACGAACGACTGCCTGCTAAAGATTTTCACTGACCTGTGCAAAAAAAGTTCAAAAGTTGCGGAATTCCCCACTAAAAATTTTACATATCGGCACTTGAAAGCTGAATTTGAAACCTTGAAGAATGAATGTCTTTCTATAATTCCAGTCTCCTAATTTTCTGGCTTTCGAATGATTTTTGCGGCAAAACTTTTACGTGCTCGTACGTAAGAGCTGGGCATATTCAGGAATTGAATTCGAGTTCGTGAAGCCTCTGTTTGGGCAGGAAACATTCTCTGAAATTCTTGGCTTTCTAGCTCTTCCAGAGATAATTATTTGTCTGCCAAAACTTCCACGGGACGTTGAAATTTTGCGGAGTCGTATATGGACAGGGGATGCCACGCTGGAATTTCAGCTTTCTAGCTTCTGCAGTTAACGAGATAATTCCCCTAGCAATACTTTAATTGGGAAGTACGTGGTACCTAGGGGTGCGTTAAGGCTGAGTGCAAATCTGCGGAGTCGCACGCTGTTAGAGGACATCACCTTAAAATTTCAGATTCCCTATTTTCGCGTTCCCCGAGGTAATAATTTTTCCTCACCGAAAATTTCACGGGGCCGTAATAATGCGGGAAGGCTGAGTTTAAATTTGCGGGGCTGTATGTGTGCGAAGGACATCACCGTAAAATTTTAGCTTCCTGGCTTTTATGGTTCTCAAGATAATAATTTACTCGTCGAAATCTTCACAGGGTCGCAGATGATATCTGACAGCGTGAAAACGATAAATTTGAATTTGCGAGGCTGTACGTGTTACAGGGGTCATTACCCCAAAATATCAGCTTCTTAGATTTCATGATTCCCGAGACAGTAAGTTATCTCTCAAAAGTTTCACAGAGCCGTACGTGTTACCCGTGGGTACGGAGAGGCCGAATTTAAATTTGCGCGATTACACTTGGGTGGAGAAAACTCCCTCAAATTTTCAGCTTCTTGGCTTTTTTGGTTCCGGTGATAATTTTACTCACCAAAACCTTTACTGGGCCGTACGTATTACTCGTGGGCACGAAAAGGCTGATTTCAAATTTTCTGTATCGCGTACGAGCAGGAGACGCACCCATAAAATTCCAGCTCCCTAACTTCTGTGCTCTCGAGACAATGGTTTTCCTGCCAAAACTTTTACGGGGCCGTACGTGTTACCCGCAGGTACAGGGAGGCTGAACTTAAATTGCGGGATCACACATTGGCGGGGAACACTCCACTAAAAATTTCAGTCGCCTAGCTTTTGTGGTTCCCGAGTTGAGAATGCGGAACAAAATCGGGACACATCCATAGACAAGTCCGTGACAACATGCGTTTTGTACTGCTGTTACACAACACAAAATGAAGTAAATGAACTCGTCTCGCAGATAAATAATACATTAAGAATGCCAAGTTCGCCTAGGAGATTAAGGTGGATAACCCAAATTAGTGATGTCACTGAGACGCTCCCAAATATGTTGCCTGCATTAGCAAAAGACTCCGAGTTAGTAAGATGGCAATGCTGCGAAATGCATGCCCCAATCGCGTTAAATAAATCAACAAATCGAGCATTTCGACAAATCTGTACGGCACGTGGATACACGAAAAAAAAAAAACTGAACAATCTCACAATGCCCTGAGCTTTTGGCAAACTTATTGTGAAATAAAACATGCATACTCCCTGAATGCGACCAGTGAAGAAAATCAAATTTATATTGCTCAGATCTGGTCTAAACGAAAAGACTAACCCTTTAATAGTCGGTAATGGAATTACTGATGACAGATCGAACGTGGCAACAATTCGTGAGCAAAGCACTTCTAACGACTCTTCTTCACCTGCAATTTTATTTGGACCACGTTCACCGTTGTGACAAAATCTTAGATAATTCGGCGAATCCTGTGACCCAATGATACCACCTACCAGTGAGATGCAACAATGGTGCGAACAGCAACTTCAGAAAAATGTCGATTTCTTCCGGATTGCAACTAGCCAGAAATCGAAGTATCGCAGCGCGTCGTGCCAGTTCTCCTTTGTGAACATGCATATTGTATTTGCCGTACAGAAGCCTAGAAACGAAAACATTGTTTTATTCTTTGTGAGAGGCTGACAGGGGATACTGGACAATGCATGGCCTGCGACTCACGACTAGCTGCATAAAAATCGAGTTGTTAAATAATTTTTAATTCTGCCAGCCTTTCCATATGTCTGTGCGTGCTTGCAGATGCTAGTATAATTGGCCAACGGATGGGCTGCCCGTGCGAAGATGCGTTTTTTGCACAGCTCCTCGCAGATTTTTGTTTTTTGGCAGATGCATCTAGCTAAAAGAATTTCAGACTGGCCGCCAGGATTGTCAGGAAACATCCCTTCAAAATCTCAGTCCTCTAATTTCTCAGGTTCCCGAGTTATCAGCTCACTCGAAGAAAACTTTCACGGGCCTGTACGTGGAAACTACGCATACCCGGTGTCCGGGTTTGAACTCA